AGCAAACAGCAGCATGCCAGTGCGAATTCATTTGTATTCGAGTATTTTGTTGAAAACCAAATACCATGAAAGTTCTCAGTAATCTGTTGTGTGAGTTTATGGTGGAGAAAAACACGAACACGAACGTGTTTGGGTCGAACATGTAACCGATCTTCTTAACATTTATGTGTTCGCCTCAAACACAAACATGTTTGGGGAGAACATGTTTGTGTTCACATTTTGGCTGTACTTTGCTGCAGTCGCATTGGCAGAAAACTTAAATTGCATTGTATTTGAGTGGCTTACTCCCTGTGGAGGTTGAGGCACTGAAAGCTGAATCCAACCGAACATGTTTGGGTTGAACGGGAGCATGTGAAACAGCCTAAGAGTTCTAGGAAATTGAGAGCGAAAGATTGACATGAGCTCAAAAGAGCACAAGGTTATGAAAGCAAGAGGTGGTTGGAGAAGAACACCAATCCTAGCACATAGGACATGAAGACCAAGTGACCTAGTGGGAGGGAGGGAGGACCATCCAACCAACCCTAGTGGGGTGGTTGCCAACACACCAAAGTTGGCTGCCACCAACACATGGGCCAATGATGGTTTCACACCCCCATTTGGCCTCCACCCTACGAGATGAAATAACGAGGCAGAATAACTCACCTAGCCTTTTTCAAAGGGGGCCTTACAAGTCAATCAGAAACTTAAGATTGCCCAATGCTGATGGTATCGACCCTGTCAATTTGTTTCTGTTGAGAGACCTGCATTTTATGAAAGAGAGAAATAGAAAGGGGAGAGTCTGACAAACAGCAAAGGATAACACATTTCATTTGACAAAGCAGCGTGCAAGGAAGGACAGACAAGGTGTCATATGAGCATACAAGTCGAAATCAACTCCGAGAAATGAATGATCAGAAAAGGCTTACAGTGATGCGTTACAAGGAGAGCGAAAAATTGGGGATGAGTAAAAAAAAAAAACGGAACAAATAACTATTCAGAGAAACAAGAAAATGGTTGAAGGTGGTCCTTCAAAATACGAGAGGTTGCACCATAAAAATGACATCAGTAAGAAGAGGCTCACAATGCAGTTAAGGCTGTTAAGTTGCCCATCGCATCTGGTATAGATCCAGAGAGAGTGTTCCCATGGAGACGTCTGCAATTTGAGGTATTGGAGCGGAGAAAAGAAAAGAAAATAATAATAAAAAAAGAAATAAGAAGAAAGAAAGAAAGAAAGAAAAAACTGGAAACACAGGCCTTGTCCACATCCACTAAGATAGAAAGATATAGTAGCAAGCAGAGATCCAAGAGGGGCTAACACAAAATTGAGCATCTGACCCGTCCCGGATGTTGGGTCAAGACAGGTCACAGCTCCAAACAGGCCGACCCAGGTGAAACGAGTCAACCTGTTCCGCATGGATCGCGTCGACCATGCGATTTGAGTTTCCAATTCGGGTTCGCCCCATTGGGATGGGTCAAATCGTCCCGGCTATGGTTCTGAACATATCAAAATGTCCTGGCTATGCTTTTTGACATATCAAATTGTCCCGGCTATGCGGGGAGGGGAGGAAGACAGAGGGGGGCAAAAGGGAGGGAAAGGGTAGGGGGTATACTGTCCTAATAAATGGTCGACTAGATTTGTTGTGCAAAATGGCCACACTAGGGTTCACCCTGCCTTGGATTTGAATGGTTAAGTTTTCTAGGTTAAGAGTGGTGCAGTGCAGTAAAATCGTAAAATGGCTTGGGCGTGTTTAGGGTTACGTTCTATGCATGGGCAAATATGTAGCCAGGTCGTGTCGATTTTGCCGACCATCGTGGATCGATGGCTGAAATGCGCCGGTCTGCGTGGATCATTCAAGTTGTCAAACCGCAAATTAAAACTCGCAGACCTATGCAGATCGGCAGTCAATCATTTCCCCACGTGGATTGGGGGGTCGAAAGCGCTGATCAACTTGCCTATCCGCGTAGATTGGTCTCTCGCGGATCTACGTGGGTTGGCAGGCGAAATTACCGATCCGCACGGATAGTAGAAGTTGGCAGGTCCGTCAACCCGAGTCGCCATCGGGTCGACCCGACCCGTGCTCAAGTTACAGCCAACCCAATCCTATACCCGCCCCTGTTTGTTATGTCTAAAAATCAAACATGCAATGGGTGATGCACAGGTTCAGCGTTGGTACTGACAATCCACCAAGGTTTGACATCATGGAGATGGAGCCAGGAATCGTGCCGTCCAATTGGTTGTTGCCAAGGGATCTGATGAGAAGAATGCACGCGAGCAAAGGGCACGCATACAGGGACACATGTGGCACACATCAAAGTCATCTGATATGAGGGCATAGAGTCCAAGAATGTATGCTGCTTTGACTCACATTGCTAGAATGTCCTGCATTCACTACTGTTTTCCACACAAAATTATACAGGGCTGCTGATGGGGAATAGTTGATTCTTTATTTTCACATTGAGCTGGCAATGTGCTGTCATTTGACAAGCACTAGCAAGTATGATCAAGATATGCTCAAGATTTGCACATGACAAGTGTATGTATGTAGTAGCCAAAAGTGAGTATATTATCGCCACACCATCCGCCCCACCCCGGATATTGTGTAGTGTATGACATCAGAATGTTTATTAACAATGCGTTTTACCCAACTCCAGGGTAAAAAAAGGGGGGGGCTTTTATTTTTTCATTTACTGTAAAAAACGGTACCGTAAAAAATGGGTGTTAAATAACGGTCTAAAATGGTTCCAGGAGGTGTATTCTGTTCAATTAACAAAATGGCCACTTAATGGGACCAGATTGAACTTGAAAGTCAGCAGTATGAAGGAGACGGACCCCTTCTTGCATGATTGAAAATGTATTTGACCTTGTTTTTCCTTTTGTTTTTTTTTCTTGGTGAACAGAGTTCTCTAACAAAAAAACGACCGTTTTGTTTTTTCTTTTAATCACCAACCAGAAAGGCCGTAAGATACGGACCGTTTCTTATAAAAAACCATATTTTTTTAACCTTGCCAACTCACTGCGGGACGAACCAAGTAACAATGGAGGTTCTGTTATATCTCACTCACAAGAAAGTCAGGGAGCTCAGGCGTTCAAGAGTGGAGGGAATGGATCCAGTGAAGCTGTTTGTGTGTAGATACCTGCCAAATGTTACAGTAGCATGCTCAGACAAGTAGGTTCAATTAGACAAGGAGTGCAATCGCAAAAAATACTCACCTGAGGCGAGTAATCCTCACAAGTAATTTATTTTTTTGTCTCGACTTGACTCCTCCGCAACTTGCCCGTGAGGGTTTAAATTTGGAAAGCAGCAAAGAACAGCTTTGGCTAGTCGAGCGTAGATTGAAACTGCTGCAGTTACAAAGGCTACGGAACATTGACTTGACATCCAAACATTGACGACCTCACCTCACCTTCTGTAAGTTGACTCCATACAGTAATTATCTAGTTGAATTGTTTGAACCTCTAATGAAGGGACTCACAAGTCGAGCATATTTCAGAACTGAAATTTCATCATTGTTTCTTCTATTGAGCCAGTCAGCCTGTTTCGATGCGCAAAACTGCATCTCATAGAATGGGTGCGTAAAACAATAGGAGAAAGTAGCATTATCAATACATTTCAGAGCCATGAATCCGTCAGCTCGTTTCACAACAACAATAACCAGCCGACTCACAAGGCTTGAGCCTACTGCCCCTAGCTAGTACTACCTGCAGTGACATCCATGCAATGTGCAAAAATGCACTAAGAAACGAGGTGGTGTGAAGCACACATAATTCCATCGCGCATGGAAACATGCAGATATTTGGCACCACCGGAAGTAAATGTTGACTGCTATTTGAAACATAAAGGCTCTTAACACACCTTTAATCAGCACTACGTAGTCCCTACGGGGTCACCTCCAAGGGTCCTTGGGTGCCTGGTAGAACCAGCCCCTATCCAAGGGTCCGTGTTTGAAGAGGGATTTCCCTAAGTATGAAAATTCTCGTGTGTACTAGAGCGTTCCCAAACTATGTTGCGCAGCGTCGACAACAAAATGGGCTCCTGTGCAGAATAGCTCTTCACGTCAATACGTTGATAGAGCAACTTAACTCGTCATTGACGAGATTCAGAAAACTTTTCTACTAGAAATGATTGATCACAATCAAGCACAAGCACACGTTTTATATTTCACCTAACATGCATAAGGAAATAGCAAAGTAGTTGTAAAACTGAATTTCGGATCTTTGCCATGCTGTACTTGAAAACGGTTGCTTAAATTTTTGGGCTATTGTCTTCTTCCTCCTATTGTAAATCCTGTATTCAAATTTCACTTAAGACAGTTGCCCCTGCTGACTTCTCGCATGAACACTCATGACTTCCATGTATGCATGATCATCCTGCCCCGGCGGGTCGGGCCGACCCGACCCGACCCGGGTTTTGACCCGGGTCGGGTCAGGCATTTTGAAGCGTTGACCCGGCGGGTCGGGTAGGGTTTACCCGGCCGGGTCGGGCCGACCCGACACCCGAAACCAGGTCGGGTCGGGTCGGGTCAGTTTTTGACCCAAAATTTGACCCGACTCGAAATCGGGTACCGCGCCCTAAGTCGGGTCGGGCATTTGGCCCGACCCGAGTTTCCCTCCCACGACAATTCGAACTAAAGCAGATCGCGAAGTCAATGTCTAGGGTTTTTTTGTTCCCTCGACATTGACTTCGATCTGCAATACCTAGGCAGCTAGCAATAGCTCGTTCTCAAGCTCTAGAACTCTCTAAACCAGCGCCCATGTTTAGGAACCCTATTTCAAGTGTTTCCATGTTGGCGGAATGGACTTCTTAGCCTAGCGCGACCAACCACAGATTTTCGATTTTATAGACTTAGTTATTCCTAGCTCTCACACGCGACTAAACTCTGGCCCCGCGTTCAAATCGCCCACTGCGCGCCTACCACGCCCGCATCGATAGGGACGCGACCCCCAATTGTCTAGGCCTGCGCCATTACAAAAACGTCGCGACTCCAAGGTCCGAAACGTAATCGACGCCGCTTGCACGCGAATGGAGGGGGAAGAAGACAGCTCACGCGCTATTCCTGGGGCTTCGCTTGGAGGCCTCCCGACACCGGCCTCCAGGGCCAGTTTTCGCTTGGGGAGCGTCTTCAATGGGCAGGAAATTGGGTGGGACGATGCAATCGCGACGAGGAGGCGTGAAGAGGTGCGGGAATGGGAGTCTCAAGGACCTGGCCCAGTGACGGAGGAGCAAGGAACACGGGGAAAGGAGAAGGACCCGGATTGGAGGCCGGCTCCGTGGGAGGCGGCCGACACGAGTGGAGGATCGGGTGATGAGGGTTGGGGAGGGAGAGGAGGGCGCCAGGCTGGTGGCAGTGGCGCGCGTGGCAGCGGTGCAGCAGCAAAGAGGCCACGCACGAGTGGGCCTGTGGGGTCGGGAGCTGGAGGGGCCGGGCCGGCGTCGAATGCGCAGCCGCAGGGGGCAGCCGCGGGTGGTTCTGATGGGTCGGGCGCAGCAGGGGCAGGTACCTCCGCCGCTGCGGCAGGTGGTGCACCTTTGGGTGGGTCTGCGGGGGCTGGAGCTGCTGCTGTGATTGCAAGCCAGAGGTCCGACAGGGCGGGCAGGACCCCTACCGACGAGGAGCTGGACCCATGGACTGAGGAGGTGCTTAGGAATGCAGAACCCGGGCTGGTTCGTGGCATGTTCAGTGAGAAGGATGTGAAAGAAGCTAGGAATTGCAAGATTTGCAAGAAGAAGATTAGCTGGAAAGGTAGTTGCACGAGCACGGGGAAGAGACACCTCAAGAGGAGCCACTACCCCAGTCTGCAGATCTGGTGTCGGCGTTTCAAGGATCCAAACAAGCCAGACAACCTGACGTTTCCCGATGGGGGATGGGGTCCGGATGTCCCCGACCAGACAGCGTGGCCTTGGGAGCATGCAGCCACGTGGCCCAGGATTGTACAGACACCAGACAGCGCAGTGACTGGCGGAGCCGAGGCTGGTGGGAGTAGGCAGATGAGCATGGCCGCATTCGTCACGCCGCGTGTTCATGGCCAGCAGCTGCGCGAGGGATTGGTGCAGCTATTTGCGGCAGCTGACCTTCCGTTTCGACTTGTTGAGTGTCTCGAGGTGAGTGACGCCGTTCTCTTGCCGTTGGTCATGTTCATCTTTGTATTGAGGTGGTCATATTAGTGCAGGGCAGCCGCACTGCATTCTGTTGGCTAATCCCGAAGCATCTTCATAATCCTTTTACCGACATCCTTTGACTCCTGCGTTACAGTTCAAAGCATTTGTCCAGATGCTGAACCCGGGAGCTGCGCTACTGCTCGGCTCACGCCATCGCTTGGCACGGGACATGCAGGCATACGGGGAGGCTGCTAGGGAGGACATGCGGCAGCTACTGGTGGGTGATGGCCTGGCGGGAAGGATGTCCCTCACCTTTGACATCTGGACCGGTGAGAACAACGTGGCCTTCATGGGGGTGACTGCCCACTATGTCACCAGCGATTTCCAGCTGAAACAGGCTGTTATAGACTTCAGGGAGCTTAAGGGCTCTCATACGGGGGACTTGATAGCCGATGAGCTGGAGGAGGTGTTGAGGGAGTGGGGCTTGGAGAAGATGCTGTTCGCCGTGACGTGTGACAACGCCGAGAACAACAGCAGGGCGATGCGTCTGCTGGCCGGTGTACCTGACGCCAGGCCGGGCTCACGGCCCAGGCACCCACCACTGCTCAGTCGCTGGAGGCACTTCAGGTACTATGGGGCTGTCTCCGTAAGGGTATGCTATAAACTGTTGGCGTAGTCCACCATGTTTGTTATGGCAGTGCTTATGTGGTACAGTGACATTAAACCCACTCTGCACAATGCATTGCCCCAACAGGTGCGTGGCGCACGTCGTCAACCTTGCAGTGCAAGCTGCACTGAAGGTTGACGAGGTGGCCGAGCCACTCAAGAGGCTGCGAGACGTGGCGAACTACATCGGCTGGTCCACACTGCGCACAGATCGTTTCTTCGAGCTCCAGAAGGGATACGCGGCGACCCGGCCCCAGGGTCCTCCGGGTTCTCGGCGACCATCGGGTCCGTTGCGTTTGATCGTGGACTGCCTGACGAGATGGGGTTCTACACTCCACATGGTGAACAGGGGCTTCGAGCTGCGCATGCCCATTGCCATGTTTTTCGACGATTCAGATGTACATATGGTAGGATTCACATTCGCTTGTGACTATGGCGAATGGGGGTACGTGGGCATGGCTTGAATAGTGCCACCATCCCATGCATGTGCCACCATCCCATGCTAGTCCCACCATCCCATGCTAGTCCCATCATCCCATGCATGTGCCACCATCACATGCATGTGCCACCATCCCATGCATGTCCCATCATCCCATGCATGTGCCACCAGCCCATGCATGTGCCACCATCCCATGCATGTGCCACCATCCCATGCATGTGCCACCATCCCATGCATGTGCCACCATCCCATGCATGTGCCACCATCCCATGCATGTGCCACCATCCCATGCATGTGCCACCATCCCATGCATGTGCCACCATCCCATGCATGTGCCACCATCCCATGCATGTGCCACCATCCCATGCATGTGCCACCATCCCATGCATGTGCCACCATCCCATGCATGTGCCACCATCCCATGCATGTGCCACCATCCCATGCATGTGCCACCATCCCATGCATGTGCCACCATCCCATGCTGTGCCTCCATCTTTACAACCCATGTGACCCATACCAGTCATCCATCAGCAAGGAGACTAAGAAGGCGTGGGACGCCATCAGGTTGACGGATGCGCACTGGGACGACCTCGCCGAGCTCCGAGACTTCCTCACCCCATTCGAGCAAGTCACCCTCTTCGCCGAGGGTTCCCTGTACCCTACCCTCTCAGCCGTTGTACCGCAGTACAACGCGCTGATTGATCTGCAGGAGAAGGCACAGCTCACTCCTGGCATCTCCCCTCTGCGCTCATCGCTGATCACTGCTGCTCTGAGCAAGCTGGGAGACACTGAACGGCTTGAGGGCGATGGCTAAAGATTATCTGGGGGTACCGGCTTCGTCAGCAGCGAGTGAGCGCGCATTCTCACAGAGCAGGAACATCATTACTTGGCAGCGACACCGACTGGCAGCTGGCCAAGTGCGTGCTTCCATGCTGATTAAGACGTGGCAGGACCACCACCCTTCGGGGACTCTCGCTCCCAAGGGCACCTCAACGGCCAATCCCACCCTGGGAGTGGAGGATGAATCGAGGGGGTTGTGATATTTGTTCGTAATTGATGCTTATGCCCTTAACTTCATCAGATAACGTGATCGGACCAAAACTTGATTGGTTCTTATTCCTGTGCGTCGAACTACTAGTTGACTCCGTTAGCTTTTAGGCCTTTGTAGGATTTTTCCAAACACGTGTAACAGTTTACGCAACTTTGAATAGTTAATTTACAGAAGGGAGGACGTTCATATAATAATATATTACACAAACATTCAATCTTTGCAACACTGGACAGTAGTGAGGAAACCCCTACACACTGCATATGGGGTTCTGGCCCGACCCGACCCGACCCGGCCCCTACCCGACCCGACCCGGGGGCGGGTCAAGCCTGACCCGGCACCCGATACCCGGGTCGGGCCAGGATTCCTAGAAGTGCCGACCCGACCCGACCCGACCCGGAACCCGGCTGGCCCGCCCAAGTCGGGTCGGGTCGGGTCGGGTCGGGCCTAATGATCATGCCTACTTCCATGTGCCTCCAATGTGACTCACATGAGTTTCATGCGAGTTTACAGTTGTAAAACGGATTTAACCGTTGAATGACGCGAGTAACCGGATTGTACCTGTGGCGAAATCATTCCACACTGCGACGTGACTTTCGCGAGAAATTACCTGTCCCGCGAGTCAACGCGAAATGCAGTTGTAATTCCGAGCACCCCCTACGTGCCACACGCCACGACAGAAAAGGACGTGACTCGAGATTCAGTTATTCAACTAAAATCTCGAGTCAAACCTCGAGCACCCCTCGGGATCCCTCGGCACCCCCTGAAACACACGCACACCCCTCAGGTGCGCAATCATGCACGACCAAAAATCTCGGTCGTGCTGTACAATGCGATCGTGCGCTGTACTGACAAGGCAGGGCGGCCACAATCGCCTTGTCTGGTTGCGATCGTGCGCCCTGCGCACGCTCACAACAGTGCGAGCTATGCACTTGGGCCTGAGGGCCCACACGCGAGATCAGGACCCCACGCGTCGGTCCTGATTCTCGCGCCCTTTGACCTTGACCGACGCGAATCAACATCCCCACAGTCAAACAATCGAGCCCCACAAAAAACATCCCACGATACACCACCCGTTCGCATGAGGCACGCATGAAACATGAAAAACAAATGGGAGTTTCATGGGAAGCTCATTTGAGGCTCATTGGAGCTTCACGAAAGCTTTTATTTGAGCTTTCATGAAAGCTTCATTTGAGCGTGTCATGGGAGCCTCATTTGAGCACTTCATGCGAACTTCATTTGAGCGCATCATGTGAGCCTCATTTGAGCACTTCATGAGAACAGTGAAAATGCACTAACACAAAATGCAATTACGAATGAAAAACAGAACACACAAATTGAAAGGACGAGTACGCACACACAGAACACATACAAAATGCGCACACACAAAATGCAAAATGAAATGCACATCTTTCACGTCACAAATTACCTTAAAGCAAGACACCCCCATTTTCCTTTACCGTCGGCGAATAGGCGGTAGGTTGCCGTGCAAACTATGGATTGCACTCAACAGTATATACCAACCTCTTTCAAACAACAAACCCTCGTCCTGTGTCCTGGTTTTCCTAGTTTACCAGTAAGTAACCAGTGGCTACATACACATAGCACAAGTATTACACAGTTGCAATCTACACCTGAGCATGCAGCTGTGGAGCTTGGTGGCCCGGCATGACATTTGAACCCCCGGAGGAATGGCACTCACAAGGAACGGAGGTCTGTGAGCTTGGTGATGGAATCCGGAATCGGGCCAGTGAAGTTGTTGCCCTGAAAGAATCTGTTGATGCAACATAGGATAGGAGGGCATGAATGCGGGGAGAAGGTACTACATGTAATGGGAATACTGTATGCAATCAGAGTATTACACTTGATGGGTGTACTGCATGAAACAAGTTCACTGCATGTGATGAGATGAGACTACTGCATGTGATGAGATGAGACTACTGCATGTGATTAGAGTACTAGCCATTATACTTTGCAAGGTGTGGTTATTATGAACGGATTTAAGGAAGGACTACTATGGCCCGCTCAACAAATCCACCAGAGTCCCCAGATTTTTTGGTGGCCCGACATGACCCCATCAAGCTAAGGATGGCGTGTGGCATTTGTATTTTTTAGTAAGAAACCGTTAGCATAATACACGATAAAACAGTTAGGGAAATGCATGATAAACAGATGCAAAGGAGCAAAACAGAACATACGTGGAACACAAAGTGCCGCTACATTATTAGTGAGAGGGTGTATGTACTAGGCATAAGCAGGGGGCGGCATGCCGTGTAGTCACCCTGCGGCCCGACAGACAAGAAATTTCCAGTGGATTGGACCAGCCAGCCTGACCCCGAGTAATGGTGGCCCGATTCCTTCAGAACAGGTTGGGAAAAATCTCATGCCGACCAGCCCGGGTCGACCCGACCCCACCCGGGCTCAGCAAGACCGGAACTGCTCGGTACGGGCCGACCCTGGTCAAGCCTTCTGTACGAACAATGCGCCAATAATAACAACATGCTACACGCACAAGAGAGGGGATCATGGTACGACCAGAACATGACATGTCATCATTCGGGATCAACCCACACAAATATTAGAAAAGAAAGGGTAAGCCTAAGGTCAAGGTTACATCTTACCCTCTTAGAGGCTTACATCAGTCTTACTGTGTCAAGGTTGCCCAGTGCTGGTGGTATCGGACCAGTCAAATTGCTGTAGTGGATAAAACTGAGAATTTGTTGAATTGGGGTGTAAGTGGACGGGAAGCATGTGGAAGTGCAAGGGTCCAGGGTCAAATCCAAGCCGGTTAGACCCGAACCATGCTGAACTGAAGAAGCCAGGGCCCGCCCAGGTGGTCGAACGGAACTCGAATCAATTGGGGTTAACTTGGTTCGTGGCTTGACCAGAATGGTTCGACTACCCGTTCATGGAACAACTAATTAATTGTTATCATATGCTGTGCCTCCCTTCTTTTACAATAGTTCACTGTTATCATGGTTGGGGGTTATTGGGAATGGAGGATGGAAGTTCAATCATGTACAAATCGACTTTCATCCATAGGACCCAACTTGTGAAGCATGATTCGCGTCGGACAGGCACACTAAATCGCCGTGAAGAACACCAACCGGACAAAAAAAAAATGCTTATCTCCCTATACACCACCATTGTAGTGAATTTTTCTAAACACGGTTCACATTAATTCAACACAGCATGGTAAGCAAGCTTTGACAACGTTCAAAGGGTTCGAGATGAACCTGGTATGCTTTGGTTCTATGCTCATATTGAAAAGAGAAATACTGTTTTTGTCAGCTACATACCAGCTTGCCAGCTACATACCAGCTTGCCAGCTACATACCAGCTTGCCAGCTACATACCAGCTCGCCAGCTACATACCAGCTCGCCAGCTACATACCAGCTTGCCAGCTACATACCAGCTTGCCAGCAACATACCAGCTTGGCAGCTACATACCAGCTTGCCAGCTACATACCAGCTTGCCAGCTACATACCAGCTTGCCAGCTACATACCAGCTCGCCAGCTACATACCAGCTCGCCAGCTACGTACAAGCTCACCAGCTACAAACCAGCTCGCCAGCTACATACCAGCTTGCCAGCTAGATACCAGCTCGCCAGCTACATACCAGCTCGCCAGCTAAATACCAGCTCGCCAGCTACATACCAGCTTGCCAGCTACATACCAGCTCGCCAGCTACATACCAGCTCGCCAGCTACATACCAGCTTGCCAGCTACATACCAGCTCGCCAGCTACATACCAGCTCGCCAGCTACATACCACCTCGCCAGCTACATACCAGCTTGCCAGCTACATACCAGCTCGCCAGCTACATACCAGCTCGCAAGCTACATAACAGCTTGCCAGCTACATACCAGCTTGCCAGCTACATACCAGCTCGCTAGCTAAATACCAGCTCGCCAGCTACATACCAGCTTGCCAGCTACATACCAGCTCGCCAGCTACATACCAGCTCGCCAGCTACATACCAGCTTGCCAGCTACATACCAGCTCGCCAGCTACATACCAGCTCGCCAGCTACATACCACCTCGCCAGCTACATACCAGCTCGCCAGCTACATACCAGCTTGCCAGCTACATACCAGCTCGCCAGCTACATACCAGCTTGCCAGCTACATACCAGCTCGCCAGCTAAATACCAGCTCGCCAGCTACATACCAGCTCGCTAGCTACATACCAGCTCGCCAGCTACATACCAGCTCGCCAGCTACATACCAGCTCGCTAGCTACATACCAGCTCGCCAGCTACATACCAGCTTGCCAGCTACATACCAGCGTGCCAGCTACATATCAGCTCACCAGCTACATACCAGCTCGCCAGCTACATACTAGCTTGCCAGCTACATACCAGCTCGCCAGCTACATACCAGCTTGCCAGCTACATACCAGCTTGCCAGCTACATACCAGCTCGCCAGCTACATACCACCTCGCCAGCTACATACCACCTCGCCAGCTACATACCACCTTGCCAGCTACATACCAGCTTGCCAGCTACATACCAGCTCGCCAGCTACATACCAGCTCGCCAGCTACATACCAGCTTGCCAGCTACATACCAGCTCGCCAGCTACATACCACCTCGCCAGCTACATACCAGCTCGCCAGCTACATACCAGCTTGCCAGCTACATACCAGCTCGCCAGCTACATACCAGCTTGCCAGCTACATACCAGCTCGCCAGCTAAATACCAGCTCGCCAGCTACATACCAGCTCGCTAGCTACATACCAGCTCGCCAGCTACATACCAGC